CTTCTCAGTCTGCTTTTACCATTTGGTTTTCTTGAGAGTTGCTACTTTCCTTTGTTAAATGTTCGATATTTCCGGTTACGCCACGTCGATCTCAAGTGAATAAACTTTTGATGAGACGGAGGCGACTCAGGACTGCTGAACAGCTTAGCGTAGACGAAGTGAAAACACCTACATTTGAAAAGAAATGTTTGTCAATGGAAGAAGGCCTTGCCATCGGGAAAGCATCGCTAGGTAATCAAGAGGATTTATCTAGGTAACCCTTCCGGGACCATGGGCCCAACCCGCTGCCTCTGTGAACCCCAGCGTATCGCGTCTAGCCCCCAGTGTACCGTCGTTAGACGCAGCACGTTGGGGGTTAGAGACGAAGGGGGCTTGGGTCCATGGTACCGAAAGGGTTAACTACTTTTTTGACAGTGGTGTGACTTTATGATCATATATTCAATTATGTTGAGTGACATGCAAGATTTTGAATCTCAGATGCGAGTTGAACTCGCGTCTCACCCTTTCCGGAGGGGGGATTGGTTGCTAACCATCGCGTCGGCCATACTCTTCTTCTGCTATCACTTTTAGACAATAAAGGTATCGATTCTGTCAGCAACCAACCGTCAACGATTTAGCTCCGATAAAGTGGGACCCTCGTGAACCTTATGCACGAAGTTCAAAGTCTTGCTGAGTAATTAGCTACAAAAGAAGAAAAATCTTGTTCTTGCACTTCATCTGTGAAACTTCAGTGAAATTGCGACAGCGTTTGAATGGTGAATTGGACAGCACTGGAATCGAGAAACCCAAGCTTAACGTACGTCATCGTACTTTCCTTATCTTCGCCTTGACATTTCCGTTATCGAAAGGGTTTTTGAAAGGGCTCTTTTCCCTCAACAAAGAATTCTTCAGACTTCTAGTAACAATTCGAGTGAATGAATTCTGATAATGACAAAAATCCTATAAAAGCCTTTGTTATAAAAGCTGTGTTGATAAAAGCAGCGCTGTAGTATTGTGAATAATGAGCTTTGGTTCCACACTCTGCGCGTTTCGGTGGATTTTTCGCTAGCTTGAATTCTTCCCCAGGTGAATAGGATTCATGCGATAGTCTAAACCACGGCGATTTCAACAGTGTATTTGCTTTATGAAGAGACCATTTTACTCCACTGCACAGAGAAAATAAGGTTGATTTTCACTTCGCCGCGCAATTCTGGTCCACTAGGGAGCGTGGGGGCCATGGATCGGTAATTGGTTGATGGACTGCGCAGCGCTGCTCCTCTACGTAATCAAATGTACTGCGCGATTTTTGTTATCAGATTTAGGAATTTTTTCTCCTCAGTGAATAAAGAATCACATGTAGGATACTTATGCTTAGGTTCAGCACCGGGTTTATTAGGCAATATGAAATGAAAACGGAAAGCCTAAATCTTTAGAACGATCACACAAAGTTTCTTCTACAATGCCAATACGAGAAACTCAGAAGTCTCTACGAAATGGAGAAATTCCCAAACATATAACAGAAGTGAATTGCAAACGATAACGCGCGGGGTTTGTGAGATACAGTTTTATTCTCATAACTGCAAGGTGTAAGAAGGGCTTTCATTAAAACAACTCCATTTCAGAATTCGCCGTGAATTAGGCTTATAAGTGACTACTTGAAATCGAGTTGTAAGTCCTTGTCTGCCAAAAAAGGCCTCAAAAAACCCTTCGCGGGAAAGTTTCTCCGTTTTTTAGGCGTATAGACACAACTCAGTGTTTTCAGAATTCAGGCTCTCATCATCTTAAAGCAATACAACCGTGTTCACCAAATATTTCACCTATTTCTTCCCACTCGTCATCAAAAAAGAATATGTATGTTTACAAAAGCTGTTTTCAAGCATGTTTTTACTTTTCCTGATGTACTGAAAGTGCGCTGTCCTTTTGTCTTATAAAGCTTTCGCGAGACTCGTATATTTTCTTCAGAATGGATAGGCAATATTTTGGCTATTGCGCTTTCGTCGCAACCGTTTATCTTCCTATGTGGGAGAAGTCATCAGCGTGTTGTCACACACTATGAAAAACAAAAACTCTCTCTCTTTTGGAGAAAACATTTTTCTAATCATGCGTGATAGCACCCGCTGACTTCTGCCATATACTTGGATGCTTGGACGGTTCATCTTCAGGAATTGTGTGGACCTCAGCTCAGAAAAAGGTGCTACTCCAGCCATTTGTACCCTGAAATCTCGAGCTAAGCCCAATCGGTCGGGTCTTTCGTAGATCGTCACCGGTTCTTGTGGATCAGAGGGAGATTGTTACCATGCGACTGTTAGCTGCCAAGATGGCCATCATTCCTGGTACGGTTTACTCGTGGAAGCGTCGGACTCCTCAGCTTGGGTGGACCTGCTGGAACAGGGGGAGGGGGTGATTAGACTCCCCGCGTTCTTCCCAGCCCGACACCCACAGACGCCTCCTTGTTACGATGAGGCTGTAAACCATTCGAGAGGCCTCTCCCGTGTACGGAAATAAACGGCTTCGAGGGAAACGAAGTTGCTGAAAAGTAATCCATCGAACTTGATGAAAATATACCAATCTCGGCCAAACTTCAAATGACGAAAAGAAGAGTTTGTGCAATAGTTTCCATTTTTCATGCCGAGCTTTAGTGAGGGTCGGTCTTCTAATCTAAAAGTGAACTTCTCCCTCTAGAGATACCGTGCTTACTCCATCAATGGCTCGCTCACTACCACAGTCGTACTACCTCACAAGCACTCCGAAAAGGTTAGCGGCAATCCACTTGCATTGGTCTTGTTCACATTTTTTTAATTATCTTGCTACGCGTTGCTTTGACTGCTGCCTGTGGTTCTCATCTTCTTTCTGTGATTGTCGTAGAATGCTGGAAGAGACGGTTCTCCTTGTTATCATGGATGTAGCCGAGCTAAGACATTCCCTAAGGCAATCCATAAGATTCACTGTTTTTCAAAAACTCATAACAAACATACAAAATAATTCCAGAAAGAATGTTTTAGGCCTAAACGAGGCTGGTGCGCCAGGGCCATTCGGCTCCTCGTCAGTGATCCCCGCCCCACATTTAGCCCTGATTGTAGCAAGGAAGGAGGCGTTTGTGGTGATGGCATAGTGTACAATGACACTGGTCCGTCACCACATCATTATCATCACATCATTGTAGCACTTTTCAGTCAATGGATCTCGGCTGGTAGACCAAAATTAATCCATAAGATCGACTGGTTTTTTGAATCAAAATAATTCCAAAAAAGAATGTTCTAAGCCAAAACGAGGTTGGTACGCCAAGCCCATACCATTTTTCAAAAACAGTCGATCTTATGGATTAATTTTGGTGTACCAGCCGGAATCCATCGGCTGAAAAGTGCTACAATGATACAGTGATAATGATGTGGTGATGGACCAGCGTCATTGTGCACTATGCCATCACCACATACGCCTCCCTCCTTGCTACAAGCACGGCTTAATGTGGAGCGGAGGTCACTGACTAGGAGGCGAAACCGTCGAAACACCTGTGTATGGACCTGGCGTCCGAACCTCGTTTAGGTTCAAAACATTCTTTTTTGTAATCATTTCCTAAGGCATTTGTTTCCGCTTGTAAGGAAGTGCTGAGGGGAAGTGGGATCGAACCAGCGCATGGCTTATCAGGTTGCTTCCCAATGGTAGACAGCTAAAATCCTGTGCAATGTTTACAATTAATCCGTGAAGTTTCTCATGTTATTAATATCGTTTAGCACATCATTCAAACGATATCTAACAATGGATGGTGGCACCGTCAGTGACGAAGGTATGAGTCAGGTATTTTCAGCTTTTGTCCACTTTTGTTCCATTCCTATCTTGTAATATTTTAGGAATAATAAGAAAAGTACCGCGTACAAAAAGTTTAAACGTTGCCGAGGAAGGAAGCGATGATGACTCCTTTCTCAATGATATATTTGTACCGTTTACTCATCCAAGTCAGTATGTAGAAATGTTAAAACAAGGCTCTGCAAAGAGGTAGACTCCTTGTTCGTGTTGTTCCCCAGTTTCTTCCATTTCAAAGGCTGCTTTGACCGAAATTCGAGAGGAATAAGTTTGCCATTTCAAAGACTACTTGAACCGAAATTTGAGAGGAATAAGTTTGATCCAACCTATATAGTTATCTTCTATTTAAATCGACTATAGTGAAGTGTCTTTATTTATATGCCACTACTTGAAAGAAGTCCGTTTTATCCGAATTCCAAGTCAGTATGTAGAGATGTTGAAACAAGGCTCTGCAAAGAGGTAGACTCCTCGTTTGTGTTGTTCCCAATTTTTTCCATTTCAAAGACTACTTACGGAAATTTGAGAGGAATAAGTTTGACCCAGCTTATATAGTTATCTTCTATTTGAATCGATTATAGTGAAGTGTCTTTATTTATATGCCACTAGAAGTCCGTTTTATCCGAGTTGTCATGATGTATTGGTGCCTTTTTATAAGGGTTTACAGTTTGTGGCTTCAAATAAACATTGTTTCCTACTGGATTAAGGAGTATTCCATAGACAAATTCACTTTTGATCCACGTGAATTCTTTATTCTACTGCTTCTAACAGTTTATAACGTTGTAAATACACATCTATGAATGTTGAGCAGGAAACAAAATTCGATCCAAGCGGCGTTGAACCCAGGTCTCATTATAAGGATGCGCGTGCTACCACTGTACCACCGAGGCCACCGTAGATTGCACATGTAGAAATAGTTGTCAGCCTGACTGGGTTGGTGGGTTCAATGCCTGATATGTTCTTACCAGGTCTAGCTGTCGATGGTTTGTTGCTGACAGCTTCGATAGTTCACCCCGTTGAAGGCCACTTGGTACGCCGAGACGTCAAATCTCTCTCAGCTACTGTAATGGCAGCGTCTGGGTTAATAGGAAGGCAGGCAGGCAGCCGGACATGCAGATGCTGAATGCCTGTAATCGCCGCGCTAGTGATGGCACGACGCTGCCTTCCTATCAACGGTGGTCCGCAAAGGGTTATACTGGAGAACGAGTAGCAGTAAAGCGGTGGCCTCAGTAGTGTAGTGGTAGCACGCGCCCATGGCATGGGTGAAAAGAGGGTTCAACTTCCGCCTGGGGTCGAACACTTCATATGTCGCTCAACATTCATAGATATTTCTGAACTATTCATAGGACGCGGTTTCAAATATGCGGATCAGAGCACTTCTTCCATTCCATTCGTTTCATCCAGTCTACATCACCAATGAAGGTCTTCACATTCGCAGTCTTTTTCGTGCTCGTCGAGTTGATTTTCTCTTGAGATCCTGGGGTTTTTTTCGCTAGACTGTACTATTGAGAACGTCATCATAGGCGGTGGTCTACTTGTGTCGATTGGCGGAAGATTTTCTCGTCTGAGTCGAGTCTCAATCCGCCATTGTTGGAAGGATGACAGCTTCGTTAGTTTGGTGCTAGGGCCTTCAAATGTATACTTTAGTTTCTCGCTTAATCGTGGCTCACAACTATTTATTAGTCTTAGAATTCAAAGCTACAGCAGGGTTTAAGCCTCTGCAAGTTCTCCTAATTTGAGAAGTTCAACAATTAGATCTGGAGGTACAGAGATGAGTGGATCAGTCCCAGGATATGTAGATATCCTGGAGGCAACGTAGTTACTTGCTGGTAAGTGGTGACGATGTGGAAAAGTCAAAACAATCTTTTTGAGATTGTGCAGAGGTCGCCTGAATCCTTGGAATACATGAGGGCTGTTCATTTAACTTTTGAGACTTAATCATGTTGGAAGCAATGTGATCACTCAAACTGCCCTGGATTTATGATAGATCTGAAAATTCGCGTAGATACTGGCTATAGGATTACCCTTTCGGGACCGTGAACCCATCTCCATTACATCTCTACCCCCATTGTGACAACGCTGGACGGTCTGCTCCACCTACTCTGCACCTTTAAGCCTCGGCGTGCAAACGCATCAAGTGTATTATTTTATAATTTCGATCGTATTATTATGGTTATTTTTCTACTTATGTCAGCATAGTACATTTACATATAACATAAACAGGAAAATAATAATAGCACTATTGAAATAATTCGATAATACACTTAATGCGTGCCCACGCCGAGGGTCAGAGATGCGGGTTGAGCAGACCGTCCAGCGCTGTCACGCTGGGGCCAGAGATGCAGAGGAGTTGGGTCCACGGTTTCGAAAGAATTCAGGGGAGAGGGGGAACAAGAGCCATCACCAAAACCGGGGTTTCACCATTCGTACAGCATTATTTAGACCTTTACGTAGATTCTGCGAAATGAACGGAGGAGGGTGATCGTTCGTGGGGTGACTAGGTTTTGGCGTTGTCTCGTGCGCTCCTGGATATGGTCATGGACTAAATTCATTATGTTGCGGTATTTGATTTAAGGCTAGCACCATCAGACGCCTAATAAATATGTGAACGATCCATATCCTCAATTCAATGATTCATAATCACTTTTGTTCCTAAATAATGTACGTCAGTCATTCATTCGTTTGAAAGCTCAAGAATTCTTTATTTTACCACTATTATAAAAAAGTTATAACGTCATAACTATATATCCAAGAATGTTGAGTGATATGTAGTACTTTAGACCTCGCCAAAGAGTTGAACCCGTGTCCCACCCTTTCGGGGAGTGCATGCTAACCAGTGCACTATCTCGGCTCCTGTTTTGCTACTACTTCTTCTGTGCCCCTGCAGAAGGTATGACTCGAGTTCAATTTCTCAAGTTTTAGTGTTTCCAAATGGACAAGACATCGACACAGAAAACTTAGAGATAGAAAAAATGAGATAAAATCAGAGATAAATTAGTCGGATGACATTCTGATAAAGAGAGACTATCACTGGCTCCTACAAATCTATCACCGTACGCTACTACAATTGTCCACCTGTCAAGATGAAGAAAACAGAACGATTAAAATGGACCATGACGGGGAAGATGACATGCCGCAACACAAATTCGTTATCATTAACCCTTTGAGGACCATATGATACGTTTGTATCAAGCCGCGCGACGTTAGATCCCACTCAGCTACTGTGAAGGCAGCATCGCATCCCGTGGGAAAGCCGGCGCATACAGCCAGAGATGAATACCCAGTTAGTGGTGGTACTGATTCTCGTGGAAAAGCAACGGCGCGACGCCCTCTGCCCATCAACGCTAGCTCTCAAAAGCTTAATAGTACATCACTTCTTTACTCACTTTATTTGACCCATATCAGACTTTTTCTTTTCTTCCATGGGGAGCCCTGAAACTTCAAGCATTCGCTTCATCTCCTCGATTGCTAAAAGATTTCATTCTCACAAACGACGCATGATACTTGTCGAGCACGTCTCCTTCCAATCTCGAGGGCTGCCTAGCTGGGGCATTCGTATCAATCGCCGGAGAGTATTAGAAAAAGGGATCAATTCTGCATCAAGCCGCACCGAACATATATAGCCACTCAGCCACGGCCCCACTGATTATATATCCTTTGAATTTAACAAAGAATCGCGGCAAAACCAGTAATTGTGTGAACTTTCACAGCACGGGGTAAGCCTAGTACTAAAGAAGAAAAATATAAAGGATGAAAAGATAAAGCTCTCGGCTTTGACCAATCCCTCGGGATGCGTCACGCATTGAGCTTCATTGAGCACAAGGGGAACGAAAGGTGTCCCACGATACGAGTAGTCGATGGTTAGATCCCGCGCCCAGGTTCACCAAGCCTTCCATCCCTCCGAGATCAGCGCAATGGTAACAGACTTGTTTGGGAGGATAGCTGCACCGACTTAATGTGTCGGTAGCCCGCCACGAGCCATTGTAAAGATAATATATGTATTCAATCACCTCTAATGATGCTTGATGAAAAAAGGCATACATACATGAGAAAATCTACGATTCTAAAATCCGTCGTATAGCGACGACGACATTATCAATTTGAGCCGGTAAGTCACATGAGGTGTCGTTTTTCAATATGATATCGTGGACATAAGCGTCGAGACCACACTCAGACGGCATGTCATCAATGCCTTTGACGAACTCGAAACCTCGTTGTTCTCTCTCCTCGAGGCTCGCCTCCACACGAACTGTGAGGCATGGATAGTTGCTCCTGAAGTACTCGATATCTGTTGGCCTCCTGCAGTCCGAAATGATCACAACGTCATCATCACAAGTAGCAGGAATTGTCGCTCTACAATCACTAATAATTTGAGCATAAAACAAATATTATCACACGGTTCATTTCGGCTATAGGGGAACAAATGAAAAATTGACCTCATTCGCTTCACAACAACTTTTCAAATGAGGGCTAGTAACCATCTGAAAGCTGAGATATCTGGCTAGAGCCCCACGTCACTGGTTTTCAAAACATTTTTTCATAACGGTGTAGAATCCGAAATAAAACTACTCTCAGACGCGATCATTCGCCGCCGAACAGAGCTCTTTCCTTGGACTATTAATGATCGCTCGATAGCATAATCGTTGCTAATTCTAACGTTATTAACAATTTGAAAAGAGCTCTATCTTGGGAGAAAAATGCCTGTGTGAAAGTCAAGGGATTTCCTTTTGTAACAACGTCAAAAAAGGCTTCTTCGAAAACCGGCGACGTGGCGCTGTAGCCAGATATCTAAGCTCTCGAATGACTACTAACATTCCAATGAAAAGTTCCTGTCTAGCGAACGAGGTCGATTTTTCCTTGGTCCCCTTATTACCGAAAGAACAGTTCATACTTCAAATCATGTTTCAAACTGCAAACCTGCAGAAGAAATCCGGTTCCGCTGCACGTATTCTCTCACCCCATCTGATCATCTCTAAGCGATGTAATTCCTTATAAGGACCATTTGAGATGAGTTCGGAATAATCGAGACCTTAGAATAGTGGAATCACATCCAGAAGACACTATTAGGAATATCCAGAAATGTTTAGTGAAATGCAAAACTGTGAACCTTAGGCGGGAGTCGAAATCGCACCATCCATATCGTAAGCGCATGTTATCACTAGACTAGACCTTGATGCTGATTTTGCCTACCACACCAAACCCGTAGACGGTTGTTTGCTGACAGTTGTGATGTCATATAACAAAGAAAGATTGGTAGCAAAGGGATGGCGCAAGTGATGTAGGATGGCACGCGATTCTCGAAAAGGTGGGATGCGAGTTTAACTCCCACCCGAGTTTGAAAGTTCTGCATGCCACTCAGCATCCTTAGACATGCTGATAATGATGCTATTACACAGATAAGCTTCAATACATCCAATCAAACACTAATCCAATGTGACTGTTGAGACTTCACCTCACTTGCACAGTTATATGTGTACCCCCATTTTCACCGCACTCGCCATGAAGTGACACCAATTCGTGCCGGCGGAATTGCCCCCCCTTCCCTTCGCAAATAATCGCGCCTTTTGCTCTGCGTATTTTTTATTCCAATTTTCGCTAGTTTTTTTCTACATAATCTCTACCAATACCGGAAATATCGAAGTCTTGTTCGTGATTTTAAAAAATCCCTTAACTTCATAGTCGCTGTTGGCATGTTCTAGTCGGTTTTTCCTACAACATATAAGAAAGATATCTCGCTATTCTTTACGCTCATTCCATCCGCCATCTAACAGAATGTGCATCGGTGTGAAGGGAAATGAGATATGCCTGATAATCATTATTTGAGCCACGCATGTCAGTGGTCTGTCAATGAGGGCTGACTTATAGAGCCCGATACACGTGTTTCGATTTTGCAATCTCGTCAGTCGGACAGTTACCCTTTCTCGTCTTTTGCCATATAAGTCAGCCCTCTTTGACAGACCACTGACATGCGTGGCTCAAATAATGATTGTCAGGCATATTGAAATTTGAGCAGTGGTCTTAAGAAAACACTCAAAACGAAAGGAATTGAGACAGACAATACTGTCATTACGAAGACTCTCTACAATTCCCCGACAACTGAGGTACTTGAGGGCATCAGAAGTATTAGGTCGTTCCATAAGTTATAACATTAGAGCAATAAACACCAAATTTATCAGTCAGAAGTAATGTTAATTGCATGATAAGGCATCGTTCAATCGCGCCTTTTTTGCAAACATTTTAGTATACAACTAGCCTATACTTGCATTAAGATGGAGCTGTCCGTGGGAACATATT